ATTCTATGATTCTATGAGCCCTGCACGGCTCCTTCATCAGAGGAGCTCACTGCACCTCATAAACTTTCTTCCATGATCTTCCTCTTTCCGAGAGGATGATGATAGCGGTATTTTGGAGAGGGAGAAGAAACTGAGGCAGAACAGTCCTGACTCATTCAGAACTGCAGAAGAAATCATGGTGCTGCTGGAAGTCAAACGTGCAAGTTTGACACGGAGCAGGAAGTCCCAGCACTGAACCAATTGTGCACGTGGACAGGGAAGGGGACAGCCAGGCAGCAGGAGGTGAGGAGCTGTGCCTGTGAGCTGGCGTGACAACCGTGCCTCAAAGAAAGGACCCTTCAACCCAGGGCTGATGCTGCATCTTTTTATTTTCTTTTTATTTTGCTTCACTAAGCAAACGCAGAGCAAGGGATGGGAGGAGGGGAAAAGGTGCCTTGAAAAAAAACCCAAAACAAACCAAAAAAGAAACCCAAATAAAGAAAAAAACAACCCAGGAAGGAAGAGGCAGTTGCTGGAGTACGAGGGGAAAGTGAGCTGCTAAGGAGAAAGAAGTTCATAGGTGCTAAGCCCGCACTAATTCTTAATAAAATACAATACTGAAAATAGGATCTGAGAGTCTCCAAAATACAATATCTTAAGGGGTCGGCAATAATACAAAATAAGGTTCATTATGTACAAACGAGTTCTGCTCTTGGTCTCTGTACAACGGTGGGAGTGGGAGGCAGGGGGACGTGTTCAGTGGAAGTGTTGGGGTGGAGGAGGGCGTGCTTGGACCCGGCAGTGGTTCTTTGTGCTGGGGTGGAGGTGGAGGATGGGGAATGCAGTGGTATCTGGTGACCAGCAGGTCCTGTGTGAACCTTGAGAAGAGCAGAGCTATGCTGAAGGCTTTCCTCTTCCTCACCCCACTGGCCACGCATGTATGGCTGCAGCTAGCTGTCTCCAAATTTGTCCCAAATGGCTTCAGGGGAGCAAAACCAGTTTTTAAAAGGGAGAAAAGAGGGATGTTGAGGGTCCTTCCCTCACTTCTCCCAGGCCTTGAGCAAGAGCCATCCCATCCTTCCCCTCCAGGGAGCCCTCTCCACTCCCAGCCTGGGGGAGAGGAGAGGCTGGGGCAGTGCAGAGTGAGTCCAGGGTGCTTCAAGAGAAACAAGCCAAAGAGGAACCTGCCATGAGACCCGGAGTGCACAGGGACCCCGTGTGCAAATGGGGGGTCTGCCCCACCCCAGATCTCTGACACTCGTGTCCCACATTGTCCTTCCATCAAATGGCAGCTGAGGGAATGGAGCGAGGAGACACTTGAGCCTTTCAGCAGAGCTTCTGCCGGGGAGGAAGAAGGGTCAGAAATGGGTGTCTGGGTGCTAAAGAGGATGGCAGAGGCATGAGATGAGGTCATTTCAGCACCAAACTTGGCACGTCTGGCCTGAAGGGTGGTATGGCAAGAGTTGGTTACTTTTGGTGCCAGCACTTAGAAGAAAAAGTTCTAAACCAGTCTTTGGTGACCCTGGCCAATCCCAACATGCCACCTCTTTCCTGACAGACAGACCTGTCAGCAGAGATGCCAGTGTGTTCTCAGTGGCTTTCACAACACTGCTGTGCACAGGGAGGATGCGAGGGGAACGATGGATATCCAACAGCCCTCCAACGGGCTGCAGAGCTCTCCTGGGTCCTTCCTGGAAAAACCCCATCTGGCATGAAACACAGCTGGGGATGGAGAGCTGGGGTGGGGAGCAGGTTATGGGAGCAGGTTTCTCTCACTCACTCTCCAAGGGGGAGGCCTGCAGAATGGAAAGGGAGAAGGCCACTGACCTGGTTAGCACTGCACTGTAGGGCCCAGGCTGGGAACAGCAAGGGAAATACCACCCCTGCCAAAGCAAGGGTGCTGAGGGTGGGGAGAAGTGGGTTCTGGGGGGAAAATGTTCTCTGTTTCGGAGCTCTGGTTGCCCAGAAGCTGCTGGCTAATTTTTATGGTGGTTTATCCGTCTGGGATCTGTCTCCCCCACTCCGTTGGTGTGCAGATCTTTGCAGACAGTTGGCGTGGAAGTTATGTAGGCATGTCCATCAAGAGAAAACTAGAGCAAGGAAAAACTAGGTTTTCTCTCAATGGAAGCAGAAGTATAACTAAGAGATGGAGGGGAAGGAATGAGCTCAAACTCTCCAGAGCCATCTCTCCAGCACCGACATCACCCACTCCTGAGCCCCCCAGGCAGGACAGTAAATCCAGCACACTCTCTCTCTTTCTCTCTCTCTCTCTCTCCTTCAGGTGCAGTTGATGTAGCCAAGGGGTACACGCCTGGGGACAGCCCCCTTGGTCTGGAGGCTTTGGGGAGTGAGCTGAATAGTTTGAGGGTTTCCTCTGATCTCCCTCGGCTCCAAGGTGAGCCCACACCCATGGGGTAGTGCTCATTTAAGGAGGAGGTAAGGCCAGGAGATGAGGGCGTCTCAGGGCTCTGCCAGACATTTATTGCTGGTTCTGGTAGTCCTGGGACTCCCCTCAGAGAGATCAGTACTAACGGGGGGTGGGAGGGGACACGGGGAAGGGGAGAGCTGAACCCAAGGCCAGTTTAGGAGTGTCTGAATGCAGCGTCCTCTCCCGCCAAGTCCCCTCAGTTGCTCGGTGAGGAGGGCATCCTGCAGTCAGAGAGATGAGGCCTTGAGGTCCAGCAGCTGCTACAAGTATTCAGCTGTCTCACTGGAGCTTGTCTCCCTGAGGAAAAGAAAAGACAAGGCATCAGTCAAGGGTCATTGCAGCTGCCTGTGCAAACTCACCTCTCCGTGTGCCCAGCTGGTTTGCTCTGCCCAGGATGGAGACATTCTCCAGGGCACTGAATGACCAGCAAGGCTGGGACCACCCCAGTCACCCAGAACTCCTCAGCTCTGTGCCAGTGGGACACTGCTTTATGGAGTCACAAACTTCTGCTCCAGAAAATAAACTTGGTCTCACACTCCCTGCCAGCACTGGCCTCCTCCAGCCACTGCTCTTTAGCTGATTGCCTGTCCCGGGCAGCTCAGCTGTCCTTAGCTTGCAGCAGAGGGGACATGCCTGCTGCTCACTCCCAGACACCATGCTGTGTTTTGGGGCTCAGAAGGTGGCCCCCACCTGCTTACCTCTCATGGAATTGCTCTTTGAGGTGGGCGAGAGTTGGGTCAGTTTGGTTCTGGTCAGGACCCTCCAGCTGGGATTTGCTCAGATATTTGGCTGTCTCATGCGTCCTGGCCAGACGAGGCCTTCCCTCCTCAGATTGCCCTTTTTTGGCCTCCCACCCCTCAGGATGGTCCATGGTTAGGAAGGAGCTATAGCTCTCTTCTAAGGAGCCAGCACCCTCATCATAGAAAAGGAGGCTCCGTGACTGAACTGGAAAAAAGGAGAGCATTGGTTACCAATGAGGACAAGGTCTCTTGCAATGGGTGTGGGTCACGGTGGTGGTGTCAGCACCCAGCTATGGTCTTGTCCATGTGCAACTGTGCAGGAGGCCTGCTCTGCAGGATACCCACCTCCCCCAGCTTCAGGAGGAAAAATTCCCCCCCTGGACACACAGCCCCTTCAGAAGACAATCAATCTGCTCTGGGACTTTTCCCTCATGTTTCTTCCTTTGACACTTGTTATGGTTTGGGCTGGAAGGGACCTTAAAGATCACCTAATTCAAAACTTGCCATGTTTTGGGATAATGGTTCTCAGAGAACACCAGCAGGCCCAAACAAGGTGCTGTTACCAGAGTCTGTACCACTTACAGGCCAGGAATCTCCCCTCGCCAGAGCTCCAGCATATGGGGTAGACACTGAGGGGAGGGCGCTACCCTTGAATCAGGAGCGTCGAGAGAGCTGGAAATGGTTTGACAGGGTGAAATGGAGGAACCACGTTAGACTCACTCTTACTAGTTGTGTAAATGTCTGGTGCTGGTGTTGCTTTGACTGTCTGTGATGATGAAGAGAACTCAGGGAGACAGGGCATCAGGGATCCCAGGATCAGCACGAAGCAGAGTGCCAGCACCTAGAGAGGAGATCAGCACAGAGTTAGGGCCACTTGCCATGAGGACACACTCCTCACAGCACACAAACACAAGTGGTCAGGCTGACAACTGGGTTGCAGCGGTTCCCCAAGGAGGGAAAGGGTTTGCTCTGCTAATCTCTGATGCAAATCTCAGAAAGGAAGTCAGGAGCTTCCTCATGTTGATGTATTTGATGTGTTTCTGGTTCAATGATGAGAACTTGCCCGTCCAGATGATGAGAGAAGGTGGAAGGCATAGCTAGGGAACAAGTTGAGAAAGAAGGAGACTCAACAGAAGGATGAACTCTACCTTGACCAAAGAGAACCTGACCATTGGCTCAGTAGGAGCTGTAGTGGGCTGTAAGAAAACAAGCTCAACGGCAGAAATCTGTGAGTTCCCACAGCACTTATGTCCTGGTTTCAGCTGGGACAGAGCTAATTTTCTTCTCTCAGTAGTTAGTGCTGTGGTTTGGATTTGGTATGAGAAGAATGTTGTTAACATATTAATGTTTTTAGTTGTTGCTGGAAGATCAAGGACTTCCAACTTCCCCGTGTTTTGCTAGTCTGTAGGTGCAGAAGGAACTGGAGGGGGGATGACACAGTATCACAGACCCAGACTGGCATTTGGATATGCCAGCAGGATATTCCATATAGTATAAAGTCATGCTCAGCATTTACATGAGGGCTGACCAGAATGCTCTCTCTCTCTCTCTCTCTCTTTCAGGATTGCAGCTTTGGTTTTGGGATTTTCAATCCTCTGGGATCACAATCTAGGAATGGGCTGGGCACCAGTCAGTGGGTGGTGAGCAACTGCACTGTGCATCACTCATTTATATATTCTATTATTTTCATTATCATTATTATTTTAAGTTTTATTTTATTTCAAATTGTTCAATTTATTCAATTGTTCTTCTCTCAACCTCTGAGCTTCCTTACCTTTAACCCTCCAATCCTCTCCCCTACTCCCTTGTTGGGGGCGGACAGTGAGTGAGCAGCTGAATGGTGTTTGGCTGTTGGCCAAGTTAAACTATGACAACATAGTGAAGTGAAGCTACTGTCCATGCCAGGACAGAAATGACAGCAGAACTGATAGCAAGGATGGAGAGTCCAAGGAAAGGGTTAAATTTATGCTCAATACACACATATGCAGGGCCATGTGTCCATACCTTCTGCTGTCAGGCAGACCAGGCAGAGCTACTGGGCAGTGATGAAAGGAGAGAGGCAGATGAAAGCTCCCTGGAAGTCCTGCTCTGGTAGGTCTGCACCTGTGAGTAAATTCTGCTGTAGCAGTAAAGCTTCAGAGGGAGATGCCAGTGCTGATCGTAAGGGTTTGATCTGTACAGAGTTTAGGGAACAGTACAGAGCAAGAGGGGACACATGGGAAATGACACAGAGCCAAATCCTCATTACCTGAACACCCACGTGCCATGGGTGGTATATAACTAGCTGCTGCCAGCTCGGTGCTCAGACTGAGCCCACCAAAAGGCAATGCACATGTTGGTGATTTCCACTACTTATGTACAAACCAGCTAAATTTGAGCTGTGGGGACACTTGTGGGGACAGCCAGAAATTGCTTGATTGCTTTTCAGAATAACCACCTATTTTGGAATAGCCATACCTAAGTAATTCACAGAAGCTGGTACATCAAGGTAGTTTTGACCACCAGTGGATTCCAGATGTGGAAGATCAAATAATAGCATGGGCATACTACACTATGTAAAGAGAGATTTTAATTGTCCAGACTCTTCCTGGCTGGTTTTAAAGTAAGGAAATTCCATGTGGACAGCAGAGGTGCTGGCTAAGCACACCCTAGCAGGCACACAAGGCACTTAGAACCCTTATTCCACAAAAACAGGGGAGAAAATAAATTCTGAATAGATGTTGCTTGGAATGATCAGAGCCAAACACACAACTTCCAGGAAGCGGAGCCATCCCTGTGAAGCCTGTTCTCAACAAAACAGGTTTTATGGGCTGGGATACAGCAATGTACTTAACATCTTGCTTTAACACAGCTTTCAACTGGGGCTTGCAAACCTGCATTGTTTTCACTCTGGTTTGTTTCAGGTTAACTCTGATTGATGCTCTGATTCAGTTCCAGCTCAAGCTCCGTAACATTTCATAACAATAACTCTTGGTTTGACTCCGAGTACCATTCATCTCACAGCTTTTGACCATCCCACCATCCTGACCTCTTAAAAAGAGAGGGAAACAAAGCTAGAGGAAACTACTGCAAAACCAGCTGGGAAGGTGGAGACAAAATTAATAATAAAGACAACCTAAAAGCGTAGTTATCAAATAGTTTACTGTCAAACTGGGAGGAAGTAGCAGATGGGAGTAGCAGAGAGATCCATTAATGCTCTGACAAGATTCAACATTTTTAAGCTTGCCTTGGATGGTGGACTGTATCAAATCTGCAAATGAGAGAGACTACAGCAGACTGGCTTTTGGTCAGGAGTCAAATTCACAATCATCTTGACCATGAGGAGGAGTGATCCAGATCCACACAGACAAATGCCAAGACCTGCTGAGATCTGCAAGGTGGCAGGGCTGACTAACAGAGCAAACAGGTCAGTGACTACGCGGCCAGAAGAGGATCAGGGAATTAAAATGGAGCTCAAGGTGGCACAAGTTGGTGTCAGTTTGCAAAGGGCAAATCTCAGCCCAGGTTTGTTGGCTGGCTCTGTACCAGCCTCCAGGTGGAAAACTGTGTCCAGCTTTGGGCCATGAACTTCCGAAAGGATGCGTGGCAATCGGAGAAAGTCTGGCAGAGAGCTCTGGTAACAAGCAGTGCTTCAGGAACTCAGCCTACAAGGGAAGACTGAAGAAATGGTGGTGATTTAGCAGAGCAGTCTGACAGGAGTTGCTTGAAAACAATAGTTTTCAAATATGTAAAATGCAGCTGCAAAAAAGGGAGGGTAAATTGATCTTGCTTACAGTGGGCAGAATTAGTTGTAATAGGCTTAAGCTGGTGCAAGGAAGATTGAGAGAAGATAGCAAGAAAGCTTTACCTGGGAAAGACAAGGAAGCACTGGAATGGTTTGGCTGAGGAGGCTGAGGACTGCTCATCACTGGAGGCCTTCAAGAACTGGCTGGACAAATACCAAGCAGGACTGACACAGGGCTAAAAGAGAAGGGTACTGCTCTGCTGCAAGGCATGATGATTCTACATATCTGTTGTGATAAGGAGTGCTGTGTTTGAAAATGGAAAACGAGGAACTTGGAGGCCTATGAGAGGAACTGTCCAAAGATAGAAAAGCAAATTACAAATTCTTGAAATGCTTCAAAGCTAGGAAGCCTGGGAGAGTTGGTGTGTGGGCTGGGATGCCATGGAACCAAGGGAGCAGCAAGGAGAGATAAGACATTGTTGAGAAGCTAAATGAGGTATTTTATCAGCCTACAGCACAGGGGATGTCTGGAAGGCACCTCTCCTGGACTTGCTCATTCCAGGTAGTAGCAAGGAAGAATTGCTGGAGCCAGGGGTGCTCTGATGAGCTGCTGCATTAAGGAGCAATGAGTCACTGGGCCCTGCTGGGTCACACCCAAAAATGTGGAAAGTATTTGGGAAGGAAGCCACAGAGCAGCCACCAGAAAAGACAGTCAGTCATGATTCAAATCTGGTCTGACATGGGGGCAGCAAAGAGTAGCAAAAGTTTGAGTGGACTTTGAAAGGAGAAAGCGCTGGAAATTACAGAGCAGGGGCTCTGGAACCAAGGAAACTGATTGAACCAAGAGTGAAAACCAGCCCCTCAGGACACGGGGCGTGCTGAGCAAGTGGGGCAAGCACCTCAGCGTCTGTTTGTGTTTCATGACTGTTAACAGTTGGTTAACAGTCCAACTGTTAACCAACTCTAACAAATTTGTGTCAAGCAGCTACAAAGACATCACCAGGTTGAAGGTTATCTCTTTATCATGGATCAGAAACCTTCTCCCTGGCAAAAAATCACATTAAGAATAGGTGATTGATTTGATTTATGGCCACACACTGGCATGCCCCAAAACTCCACAGTGAAGCCAATATTGCTTAACCATGATCCTCCACGATGAGAAACGAGAGGCAAACAGGAATTACTAAAACCAACAAGACAACCCTGAATCATTTTGGTTAGTCAAAAGGGCAAACAAAGAGAATTCCAGATGGATTTAACAAAGCCTGATGTGCTTGCCTATAGCAAGAACAAATGCCATTACACAAGGTAATGCCTACTGGGAGGAATTCTTGAACTGTACATCTGCCCTGCAGAGTTAAACATTAAGCATTACCAGCTCAGAAAAAGAAAACTCTACCCATCACCATGGAAGCTCATTGAAGATTTTTGCTAAATGGCTGATAGATACTGAAAAGCCAACAAAGTGCTGTTTTGCCCAAAGAACAAGCCAGTGAAAATGCAGGAATTATTCTAATGCTGTTTCAGGAACAACTGGCACTACCGATGTGTGTACAACACAGGGAGCAGTTCTGCTGACTCTAACTCTAAAGGAGAGAACAGATGTAACTGGCAACAGAGCCAGGCAGCAGGGAAGGGGACAGAGACAGGCAATTGACAAAGCTGTTTGGGGAAGCGTGGCCAATAAGGAAGATGGAAATGAAGCTCATACCATTAGGCAGGTCCCAGTCTGTGTGGAAGCCATTTTGTAAGGTCTGGAGACCTTCCCAGCTACCAGAGCCTGCAGCTTCTGTAACTGCTGGAGCAGAGTCCTAGGATAGGAAACAATGCAAATCGAAACTTGATAAGGAGGTAACAGGCAGTAAGTGATGCAAGAATACCATCACCCCTTTCCTATTTTACCCTGATTTTCCCTTTTGTCAAAACAAATATCTCCTCCTTGCTGTATCTTGCCCAAGTTCTCTGACCAAACAGTCTTGGGAGGCATGAAACAAAAAAAGGGGGAGTTTGAGACATAAAATGTGGAGGAAGTGTGGCAGGTACGGCCCCAAGGTGCCATTACGCCGTGGTAACCCCCTGCAGCACCTTCCCTCAGTCTCCTCACTGGTAGATCCACCACAACTTTCACTGCAACTACCCACCATTATGAATGTCCTACCCATTTAGGAGTCCTGGCTGCCTCAAAGCCCAGCCAGTCATCTCCCAAAGCAATGGAGAGGTGGGCTACCATGAAAACCAAGTGCTGGGACAGGGGCTGAACTTTATAGTCAGGTCAGACACCAAGCACAGGGCCGCCTGCTCCCACTTCACTCAGAGACACCCGCTCTGCAGCTGGACCTGTGCCCCGAACCATATGGTGGAGAGAGAAACAAAAAACAGTTTTGATCCCCTCCAGCTTCTTCAGTCTTGGCAAACTCTGCAGAGGGATGTGGGTAAAGCCAAATCCTGAGTTCAGCAATTAATTCATTCTCTGGCTGTCCTGGCTGGAACACGTGCTAAGGTCTCTCTGCCCCATTTAACCCAACACACAAGCACAGAACAGTGGTAGGTGTGTTACTAAGAGCCACCAAACCCTTCAGTGGGCTGGTGAAGAAATCTGTGATGAGGGAGACTACAAAGCACACAGTTCCCAAGTGCTGCAAGTTACTGAAATGCAGACTACTGAGTGTTTCCCCCTGGGAGCACTGACTGTTTTACACAAATATGTTTGAGCTTTTATAAAATGCCAGGTCCTGGAGCCAGGAGATTGCAGGAGAATCCCAGCTTTATCTCTTTCCAAATCCTCTTCTGCTCCTTGTACATGTGGAGAGAAGCACAGAGCGTCCCACTGGCAGTGCTCAAAAACCAAACTCAATTAAAAAGAACACAGAGTGTATTTGAAAAAAAAAAAAAAGTAAATAAAATCCTGGCTTTTAGGCCAATCTCCTGATTTTGCAGGGTGGGGCTCATGCTTTTTCAGCAGCAGGGGCTGCCTGCATTCCCAGTGAGGCCGGGCAGCAGGCTGTGCCCCAGGGATGAGAGCAGTTGGGCAGCGGTGTCTCTGGCAGGTGGGAGGCTCTGGCCACTCGCACACCTCAGCCAGACCATGGCAGATGGTCCCTGGTCCTGGCAGCAGTGGCTGACCTGGAAGGCAGGGCCAAAGCACTCATGTCATGGATGGAAGGAAGGAGTGTGTTAGAGCCTCAAGGAGTACTCCATGAGCTACAGCTCATGGCAGCAGAGGGGTGGGTGGGGGCACTGGCTCTCTGGCTGCAGTTCTCCCCTTCAGTTTGAGATGGAGGTGACAGAAATGGGGCTATAGAAATGAGCTTCCCCCTCACCTGCCCTGTAGCTGACCCTGCCCTTGCTCACACCCAGTAAGAGGGAGCAGAGCTGGGCCCTCCTTCAGCTCCTGCTGCCCATCCCCACTGTGGGGGTGGGAGTCTTCATTATTTGCTTCCAAGGAAGCAAATTTCAAGGAACCAAATTCCCCTGGTGATCAGTCAGTCAGCTCTGTGTATCAGGAGCACAAGTGCTCACCAGATTCTTGGGTGTGGGAGCCAGGGACCTGCTCTGGGGCTGTGGGAGCAGCTTGCTTCTTTCAGGTGAGCAGCAGCAGATGGGAGAAAGATCCTTCAGGCTTGCTTTGCAAGGGGAAGAGGAATGGCAAAGGCTGGGGTACCACATGCACAGGGAGTTGCCTGGATTTGGTGGGAGCTATCGGCCTCCCAGTACCTGAAGGGGCTACAAGAAAACTGGGGATGGACTTTTTATAAGGGCAGTTAATGAGAGATCAAGGGGAAATGGCTTTAAACTGGAAGAGGGGAGGTTTAGATGAGATATTAGGAAGAAATTCTTTGCTGTGAGGGTGGTGAGACACTGGCCCAGGTTGCCCAGAGAAGCTGTGGCTGCTCCTCCCTGGAAGTGTTGAAGGCCAGGTTGGATGAGGCTTTGAGCAACCTGGGCTAGTGGAATATGTCCCTGCTGATGGCAGGGGGGTTGGAACTGGATGATCTTTAAGGTCCCTTCCAACCCAAACCATTCTGTGATTCTATGATCTCTGCCTTTATTGGAGGAATGGCGTTTCCCTGTGTTCACCAAGACTGTTCAGCTCTTTCTCAAGAGAAAACTGAAACAGCCACACTCTGCCCAGGGCCTTGTATTCCTCCAAAGAGCCCAAGAGCAGAAAATGTGGGTC